TAATGTAATCAAATTAAATATAAAACCAAAGCTATTTGCCACTGCCAGGGCATTAATGTTTTTATAGAAAATATTTTATAGTTTGTTATAGAAAAAAGTTATAGCAAATAGCTTGTTTTATATTTAATTTGATTACATTAATGTTTAAGTTGAGATTTACAAGAAATATTTTAACTGCTACTATGTAAAAGGAATACTGCTGTAATAAAAAACACCTTATTTGTTTAAAGTGTTTGCAAACCAAATGTTATTGCACTTTTGTTCATATAGCAGTACTTTTAAATGAAAAAAGTGCACAATACACTACTTTTGAATTCATTATTGAATTTTGTGCATAACAATGCGACTAATCGCAGAAAATCATGCGATAAAAAAAAATTTAATCGTTGCCCAGCACTAATAAAAACCAAAAGAAACTAATAAGAGAAAAATTGGCCCTTGCGGCCATTAAAACACTGAAAATCTTTTTATTTTCTCACTATGTTTATTTTAAAAAACACTGATCCATATGGGTTCAAGATAATTGATAATTAATACCACCTTGGTAAAAATTATTAAAAAAAATTAAAAAAACATCAGTGTTAAGTATGCACAATATATCAGTACTGTATTGGTTATCGGCCGATATTGGAGATTTTTAATTTAATGTATTAGTCAATATTGGATATTTAATTCTGTATGCTCATTTCTCCAATGTGCATTCTTTCACATTTTGATTTCCTTTTCTGTCTTACATACTAAGTGTTTATCTTGATTTTCATAATTCCTGAGCTCATTAGCACATTGTGAATCATTTTTTTGTCTAACTGATATTTTTATTAAAGTAAACACGAATGCATATGGGTCCTAGTTAAGTGATAAATAATATTGAAAAAATCAATATTAAGTATGCATAATATATCGATGCCATATTGGTTATCGGCCGATATTAATCATTTTTAATTTATCCATATCTGCCGATATTGGATATTAAATTCTGCATGATAATTTCTCAGATTTTTACATTTAGATTACCTTTGCCGTCATCTAACACTCACTTAAAGTTAATATTTAAAAAACGAATAATTTTATAACACCATTAAATATAATCTTCAGCAAATCTCATAATAAATATTCATTTTTAAAACAGGCCTATATTATAATAATGCCTAAATACACTTAGCATTTGAAATTATTTATTTTAGTTTTAGTGTTTTATTTTTAAATTATTTAGAGAAAAAAAGTATACAAGTATAGAAACAAGAGCCATTTACTGTTATTGGTCATAGTATGTAAATAATTATACATAATTATATAATTATCGGTATTGGCCAGAACTTTAAAAATGGTGCATCTCTAATCAGTACAACAATTTATCAGCACCAATGACCATTTAGTCAAGCTTTAATTTTTAAAACGAGGAACTATAAACTTCCAGAAAGAAAAGTGGGGACAAATTGTATAGTGTAATTGAAGTGTCTCAATTTAAAATTTGTTCTGTGTATCACGTAATTCTGCAGGCCGGGACTGTATATAATATATGGCAGGGCTTCTCAGGACCCTCTTGAATAATTTGGCATGGTTTCGAAATACAGACAAAGATAATAGCTCAATCTCCACTTCATTATGTCACCAATATAAATGTCCTCAATAAGAATTATTCACACCAGATGGTGTCTCTTACTTTCGCTCTCACTCGTCTAATAGACACACAGCAACACGTGCACACAGCGACACATACCGTCATAACAGAAGCGTGTGTTAAAAGAAGACCCACAGAACAGCCTGGAAAAAAGTCAGTGAAGTGCAAGAAAAGACAAAAAAGTTTGAATGTTGCCATATTGTCCGGTTTTTAGATTTTGTCACATTTGCAATATTCGTCTGTCGTCGTCTGGAGCTCCGCTTAAGAGCTAATCAAAGGAACAGCAGACAAACTTAAAATTGTTCACCCTACTGGGCATGAAGTAGTAAAACACTCTTTCTGTGTTTGATCTGTGGAACGCTGCATTAGGCAGGTGGAGAAATTGGACGCTCCTCTCTGCAATCGCATAAGATGTGTGAACAGCATGTGAGTGTGTAACCAGGCTTGAATGTGCTGAGAGATGTTTGAAAACTGAGTCAAGAGGAAAAGGATGGAAAAAGAGAATGAGGATAGTTCAAAACTCGATTCTGTTCTTCCATCGTTACCTGGGCTCACCAGATGCCCTGCTGAGAATAGCCACACTTTCCACTATGACAACAGTAGAAGAATCCATGCATAAATGCCACATTCCAATCACTCACTTTTTTAAATATGTGCATTAGTAGTAAACATAACGCATACTTAAGCTACATTTTCACTGCTTATGATGGTAGATGGTAGACCATCTATAGATCAGAGAAGCCATTCATTTCCATTTCAGTTACGATTCTCTATGGAAGAGGAATTTCTGGACTCGATTTCACCTGTGTGTTAAAATGTATTAAAATCTGGATGTGATGTATTACAACTAAAAGTACGTGTGTGACATGATAATTATATATATCTTTTAATCTGAACACATGCAATTTCTGTAGAATGGACAGTTATGAACAAATAAGTCAAACATAATTTATTATAATATTATATTATAATTTTTAACATCATCATTTATAACAAGGGTTGTCAATAGATTAAAATTTTTAATCAGATTAATCACACCCTTTTTCTGTCATTAATTATGATTAACTGTACACTTATCATGAAATTAAGCTTATACCATTTATCTTGTTTAACATGTTCATTTTGTCAATTGCTATATCCAGCAAAGTAAACCTATAGATTGAAGGGTGATTCTTTCAAAACAAGCTTATTTTAAGATAATTTTAGATGTCTTTTTTTTTTTTTTTTTAAAGGACACTTGGAGACTCCAAAAGAAGTAAATTTACATATATGAACACCAAAAAAATAAAATAAATAAATAATTAAAAAATAAAATAAAAAATAATAAAATGTATTAAGTTAATAAATTTTTCAGAATTCATAGTGTATAGTATGTGTACAGTAGACAAGCCAAGTTGCGATACTGAACAGGACCACATAGAGACGCCAA